TGGAACGTTGCTTGTTGTCCGCTGATATGCCCGTGAAAGCAAATTGGGCTTTCCAGCTCCCCTGTATCTCACGTACGGATGCGTGGAATTTGTCGCAGACAGTTTTGTAACTTCGAAGCTGAAGCAGTTAAAGGGTTAAAGTAGCTAAAGCGCGTGAAAAAATTCTCGCGTTTCCCTTTGAGCGCGAATACGTGGGATTTGACATGACTTTACAACCAAAGCGGCTGCACAGCGGAAATTTCCAGAAATTGGCTCTCGAGATGTTTGGGCAGGTGCACACACATACAAAACCTTTTCATGTTCCTCACACACGAACACGTGAAATTTGGCGTAGCTCCGCAGCCGAAGCATCTAGAGTGCTGAATTTTTCAAGCATGAATTGAGAGTCACTGTTATAATTTTTGACAATCGTCGGTCTCAGTTCATTCAGCTAGAAACATCTTCAGAAAAAACAGCGCTATTAGCGGCAAAAACCTGCGGGGAACTTGCAAAAAATGCATCTTCGCACTGGCAGCCGGTGCGCTGGCCAGTTATTTCAAATATATAGGATCGAAGAAGTGTTAATTCTTTTCATCCCCTCAGCGATCATCACTACAGCAGTCATAAAAAATTGCAGGTTTTGTGAAAAATATAAGCAGCAGCTATAACCGTAGTCGTGAATTGGTCCGATGACAAGGCTGGTTTGCACACTCATTGCTGACCGATAGCCACTGTCCACCGCTTCTACTTCTTTAGCCAGTAATCCATAACCAACATACGATGAGCCTGGACATCCGTAATCCTGCAAAACTCTGCTTCATGCAGCAAGCAAAAAACCAGAAACCAGTGCTTTCCTAAGAAAAAATTTTAAAATACTTGGATAGATTCAAAACAGACCTTGTACGGCACGCCGAGTAAGCCCATTTCGCCCATATCTCTGATCAGATTCGGATCGAACGCTGAAATCAAGTGTACTGCAGCTTAAATGCCTGAAGTGGACATTAAGTAGCACGCTGGATAAAGTGGTAATCCGGATAAAATAATTACTGTTCGAAGCCTTCCTATGAGGAATTTGGGAAAAAAAAATTTCTATTTTTTCAGAGCTTACCGTGTTCGCGGTATGCATGGATTACTCCGGGAAACAGGCGTTTACTGCAAAAATTGCGAGTTCCTTCCAGCAGGCATGACTCCTCCTCGGACAGCTGACCACGCAAATCCAGTGCGTCGTCATTATTGAAATTGGAACTGCTAGTAGCTGAACTACTTAACAGTTTTACTGTATTTTGTGCACTGCTTGATGCAAAAACTGCAATTCAGATTAGCCATCAAAGATCTGTGGGACGTGCCTAAGAGGGTCAGTGCATGCTTTTTTTATAAGCCCTAAGCTTCTGGATTAGCCTAAATTCATTCGCCAATTAGTTTAAGTTCATGGAAAAGTTCATTTCTCTACAAAGTCCACACATAGCATTTATTTTTCCTCAAGCACAGACAATAGCGCGTATTTATTAAAAACTAGATGGGCAAGAGACATAAAAGTGGGAAATGGTTTTCAAATTTCTGGCCCTTACATATCAGAGACTGTCTTAAAAATTTAGTTTTTATGCGTTTTTGCTGTGCAGCGCTATAGCGCTGCTACAGCCAGCAAAAACGCATATTGT